ATGAGGAGTGTAAAATATTTTTCATCTGTCCCTCACACGATTTAGTACCTAGAGTTGAATCTCGCGCGGAATGAAAACAATATTTTCAAAGCCGCAAGCATTGTTGAGCACTCACAATGATTGATACAAATGGACTCAATAGAATTCGATATTGGGTGCTAACGAGACTTAACTGCGAACAGAACAAAAAGTTTAAATACTGTACTAGAACATGTGCTCAGCAATAACGCTCGATTTCAGTCGCATTTTGCCGACGTCGTCTTCATACCTTGCACCCTCTCTAAGGGTGAAAGAGAATTGGAAAATGACTCACAATAAAAAATAATAGGAGTGACAATGGTAATGTTCCCTAAAATATTATTTACGGTTAACTAAATAGCTCCATTTAGCGCGTTGAGCCTGTAGACTGACTAAAATAATAGAGAAAGCATTTTTGAAATGCTTGCTAGCTCCAAATCACGGGTCGTAAGTGACAGCAATCAGGAACAAAACTATCGAAACGGAAACATATCTTAAGTATCACCTTGTTCTTGTTCGTGATTCTGCATGTGAGACGATAAATTTGAGAAGTAGCTGAAACTTTTACTGCAATGTCGGCATTGATAGGGCTTGAGACTCACGCTGGAGTGGAGTCTTAGATGACGATCCAACGTACTCAGCTGGGCAAAGCTCTTGTCGCAGAAGTGGCACTTGTAAGGCCGTTGACCCGTATGAGAGCGCAAATGATTGGTCAGGGTTGACTGTTGGGCGAACGCTTTTCCACAGAACTTACATGGATACGGTCTTTCTTTGGTGTGGGAGAGTTCGTGTTTTCTGAGCGTAGACGGCTGGGAGAACGATTTACCGCAAAACTGGCAGACGTACGGCTTTTGGCCAGTGTGAGTTCTGAGATGGTTTGTTAACGTTGTGCTCTGAGCAAACACCTTTCCGCAGTACATGCAAGCGAATGGTTTATCACCCGTGTGTGTTCGTAGGTGTGCCTTTAAGACTCCCGATTGGGCAAATCTGCGGCTGCAAAACTTGCACTGAAAAGGCTTGTCACCTGTGTGTGTCCGGAGGTGATTTTGAAGAGTGGAGAAGTGCGCGAATTTTTTGCTGCAGTATCGGCAAACGAATTTTCTTTCCTTTACGGTAGGTGTCACGTGGTTTGCCCACACTTCTCCTGTGCGCAGAAACAAATCTCGGTTCTCTTGCTCTTTCGCTGGTCTATCTGTTCCATCTGTGGTGGCAGAGGCTTGTACGGCCTGGAATGGTCTGTCGCCGTCATCACTGCCGTGAAGGTCAGCCCCGTCGTCCACGGTGGTGCTGGAGACACATCCGTGGTCATTAGGTAGTGATGATTGTTCTTCCGAGCTGATGCGTGGCGATTTACTCCTCGATGGAAGAGCATGATAGAAATGGCTGTTGCCCCGGTGTTCACCATGAACAGGAACCCCTCGAACATTCCACGAAGACTCGGAATTTCTTTCAAAGTGCGAAGTCGCACTTCCGTCAGTGGGCATACTTCGTTCTGGTGGGCCAGAGTAGCCCGCTAGGATTCGGGGCGAATAACTCTTCTGAGTACTGTCATAACGAGACCCGGTTGCAATGCGGTTTTCTGGAGTTCTCTTCCCTGTGGGAACGTGCTGATACCGTTCAGTTGCAGCATTCCCATCTGGGCTTGAGTCAAAGGGATGCTCCATGACATCTCCATTTGAATATGCAAAGTACTGGTGCGGGGTCCTAGTTTGGTAATATGAATTCATTTGATATTCATGTGGACCGTGATTTGCCCGGCCGTGCCTGTCAACAGGTGCATAAGATGATGGAACTGGGCCTCTTGGGTACACAAAAAATTGTTCACTCCTGTCCACAGTGCGGAATTTATTGGCTCTTTTATCATGAAATAAGGGACGCCATGGTGAGAACGTTTCTGAACGAATTCCATTTCTGCAAAAGTTTGGTCTTGCTGAGTTGCTCTCCAAAACACGATCATTGCGCCTTGTTAACCACTCATGTTGTTCTGTGGTCTCATGGATAGGTTCAAATGAGCATCTCTCACTCTCATTACCACAAACTTCAACGTCTTTTCTTCCTTTGCGATGTGCCTCTTTAGACAATGATGCGTCGGGTTGGAAAGGAGAACTTGCATGATGATGGAAATTGTTGTGGCTAAAGGACACTTCTTGTCGACCGTCAGCATGTTGAATTGGGTGCTGATATTGTTTTCTTGTCAAAGCGGGGTCGTTTGTGTTTACTCTTTGAGGACGTGGTTGTCGGCTTTTTCGCTTTCTACTTCCAACAGCAATTTCCCGTTGACGAGCGCAAATTTGTGTGGAGCTTTCCTCCCCAGCTTGTGCATGGAATATCTCAGCGCTTTCTCTAGGACTCTGGCAGCGATCATTTTGGTACAATTGTCTCATACGGACATGTGGAGAGGTCGACGTCCGATTACGGTGAGGACTCTCTACTGAGTCAGGAATGTCTTGATAAACCTTCCCAACTAGAATTCGTCTCTCCTCGTAGTAGTCGTGAATTTTTAAGGTCGGCCTACTCTCGTTTGGAACTTGTCTGGTGTGCCAGTTGGGAAACGTACCCCCTGATTCATGACCAACGTGCAAGTCCGGTGGACAACGATTCTTTTGGTGGGAAACACTCTGTGAGGAACGTACGTGTGGCTCGGTCCACGGGTCGTTGTAAAGATAATGATGTCGCCTCGACGCATGCTGACCTGCTTGGCAATTTAGACAAGGAATTCCTGCAGGAATGGCGCTACTTTTGTGGAACGGTCCTGGTAACACGGCGCTGCGAGTTTGGTTTTCTTCATCACCAACACCAAGCTTGAAAGTTGATGATTCGTCTGCCGTGTGGTTTGGTTGTGTTGGGAAATTGTGGCTATGCAGATTTGCCATGTTTCTCGGACTGGGAGCCGGTGAATCGTACTCAAACTCTTCGTTATTTTGCACACGGCTGGCAGATTTCAGGCTTCTTGGAGAATGCTGTTGGTATGAACTGCGCGGAGAATGACTCACTGGTACCGTTGGCACTTCATCGTTGCGAATGTTGACACTTGCGTCTTGTTTCTGTCTATTCATGAACTGGGAATCGCTCATCGATGAACGTTTAAAAGTAGGACTTGCAGTTGAAAGACTGTAGCATTGTACAATAACCGGGGTGCACTCGTCACTCTGGTTCTCTATCACGGGCGAGCTTTCATTTGGAGAATCTATGAAAACGAATAGTACATCACAGTTCTAAGATGAATGCATAATGAAAGCAAAGCTACAATCAGCGCCAACAATTGAATATATCACAACAAAGCAATCTTAGTGGAAAAGCTATTGTGTACATAACATTTCAGAAGCTAAAAAAATTACGGCAGTTTATATGGCTTTCCAAGCGACAGTATATTTGGATCGAATAATCCGTGCTACAAAAAACAGTTAGTCTTTTTCAAGAGTAAGTGCCATGCACATTAAATGAAAATACCTTCGGTCATCAGAGATATCAGAATGAAGATCATAAAAATTGGAAATCAGCCGAGGCTCGTGCATTGTCGCCTTTGAATGCAATTGAAACCGTCAAAGTGCTCCGAATTCGCCATTTCGATCGTTGGTGTTGATTGACATACAATGCAGTAAAACTTAGGGTATTGCATTGTGTTATGAAAGAAGCAAATTTTAAGAAAGCTTTTCAATACAAACATTGAAGGTTGAAAGACAAATATTGACAATTCAGTTATCCCATTTAGAGGCCAGTGACTTACAAAAAAAAAATCTGCTTCCTTGTAACAAAACAGAGGTTGCGACTTAATGCGGTTGGGCTAATTTAGTCTACCTGATACTTAAGCTTAAAACTTGGTCAAAAATTTAAATGTCAGTTAAGGCTCACTGCAAAAATAGCGCTGCCCACGATGCCAGCTAAAACAACAATCATTTCGAACTCTTATTACGGATCAACTAATATTTCTTTTGCGCACAAAGAAACACAACACCTCTCTCAATATTGTTAGGTACATAAAAATTATTCTTTAAAGAAAAAGTTCCTCATGACCTAACCTTTGTCCACCATCATTATGAAAATTGATTTAAAAAAACAGACTGCCATGAAGTTTATGAAAAACAAGATGTGCACTTACGGGGAACAGTTTGGTTGTCGCTTTCTGAAGTTGTTTCCAATATAACGTTCCTTTCCTTGAAAAGAAAACAATAAATAATTTTAAATAGTGTAGCCCCGTAAGTAGATAAAAGTTATTGTCGAGATCCTGCCCCGTTATGCTTGGTGGATAGTAAAGAACAAAAAATAACTCAAAGCACTAGCTTAAATCAGACTTGAATATGTATAACTGACCTCACGGTGATGTCCCTGCCCATTTGCAGTTCTTACAACTGGCGAGCTCCATTCGCCCGAGAGACAAAAAGGGTCAGGGCGATTACTTTCTGGTGAACTCATGGAATAAGAAGACGACGAGTTCAGTTTATGATCTTCCAGTTTCTCTTGCATGCTCGGAGAAGGATCCTGACGAGTTCTTTTGTCAATTTGGTAGAATGAGTCTTTTCCACTTTCAGCTGATGCACAAAAATGATCTGGTAATCTCTCCGTGTTCTGTAAAATAGTGCGTTTGCTAGCACCTGTACAACCCCTTTCTGGATGTCTCTTGTCTAATGTTTGGTTAGAAGGTGAGAGCTGACACATCGAAGAATCGCAACCCTTGTAACTCCAGGTGGGCGGGCACATCTGTTGAGGGCTCTCCTCGTCTTTCCTTTGTACTTTCCTATTTATTTGCACTGCAATATACGGAGCCCGCTTTGTATCGCAAGTGTTTTTCCGAAAACAAGCATGTCCATTGAAATATTGTTGGCGATCTTCTGGAAAATATTGGCAGCGATCTGTGCGCGATTGTAATTCTTCGGAATAAGATGGTCGCACTCTTGCCTCACAGCTTTGACACCGAACCGTTATAGGAAGTAAACTCGATCTGTTGCTGTCCTTTCTTGAAAGGTTTTCATTGCATTGCCGAGTTTTTTGAGTCCATTCCTCATTTACTTCCCTGTCTATGTCCACAGAGTTTCGAGAAGCCTGTTGGCTGCCCACGTGTTGCAAACAGTGTGAGACACACAAATCGGGTTTTAATAACGTCTTTTCTGTTTGTTGACACGCTAAAGAACAGCTGTTATGTTGAGCATGCAGCACTGAAGAACCAGGCGGTTGCAGCAATTTTAGAAGAACTGCTCTGCACTGAAATCTCTCGTTTTCCTTCTCCGCGCTGTGATCAGACACAGGTTCGTAAGGTACAGATGGCTGGTTGGGTGAACCCGACGAACAGCAGCCATGTAGCTCATCCCGTTTTGTGGGAATGTTTGGCATGCTTGCGTGATGCCCGTAACTCGACGAATGAGAACTTGAAACACCATTCTGGCAAATTGTATCGTTCATTGCTCCCTCCTTAGTCTATTGTCCATGTTTCTTTTGTTTCCTCCACAGCCTGAAATAAAATTCAAAAAGTTAGTCTGAATAAACAAACCACCATGCAATTTTGGCCACGGAAAAATTTATCTGTAAATTGGAGGAAAGCTGAAACCAGCAGTTTACTAAGATTGCAAAACACCAAGGAGATACTAATAAACCATAAAGGAACAAGGATGAAGAAGATTGACGCAGATTACAGACGTCCGACGAACTTGAAAAATTTAGTCTAAACTTTTCAAGATGCGCAGACTTTGAGGTAGCTCCTAGAAGCCTCCTTAGAGCATTTTTTTTTTCTGTTTTTCCCTGACACATACTAGCATG